CGTCACCTGCGGGTCCGTGTCCCCGGAGGGGCCCTGAAAAAAGTTCTCCAGTGCAGCTTCGCAAGGCGATAACTTCTTGTGAGTGGCAAGTACGGTGCTTGTTTTTCAGCTGACCCCACCGGTAGGACTGTGGGGATCTTTATGTACTTCTCGCGCATTGCATAATTACGAGTGTTTTCCTTAAATGGGTCTCGTCATTCAGTTCTTACCTTTTTATTCAGAAACAATGACATGCTCGTCATCGTGAGTGCTCACTTTCCTCTCTAGCTGGCTCTGATGAAGTCCTTGGAGGTAGTGTTTCTGATTGGCATGGAGATAAGACTCATCCGTGAACATATCGTCCTTTCTTCTGCCCCATGCAGATGATTTTGAAGAGAAAAAGCCCAGTATAAAGAAGAATGGCTCAAAAGCTCTGGCTAAGAAGAAGGCTGAAGATTGTGACACTGGAGTTCTCAACTCAGCAAATAAGCCTTCAAAACAAAAAGGGGCAAAATCACTAATAAAAGAAAATAAAAAAAATAATAGAAATAAAGGGAATTTTAACAAAGAGGAAGCTTGCAGGTACGTTTACTTGTTATCGTTCCAGTCTGTAGGAGCTCTCTGTTCATGGTTACACATTATTTGTTTAGGGCCCAGTCCTGCATATGTGCATGTGAACAGTTTACTTTTGGCTGTCAGCCCAATTTAGTACATTTGTGTCACACAGCTGGACAGAAATACCATCTTATTCTTTGCGGAGTCAGTCCTGAGGAAGGTAGTCTGTATGGGAAGCAATTATGTGAGCCTTTTCAAATTCAGTAATTTAAATATAAAATTTTATTTCATTTGTTACAGTTTTTACATGGGACTAGGGAGGCTTTATGGAATCCAGCATGAATAGAAATGTTGGCCTGAGATTGGAGTTTAAAATGATGAGCAGAAGTCTTTAAACATATCATTCTCTGGTGCTTTTTGGAATCCAAATGTAATATCAGCATAGTCTGCCCATGGAGATTGCGATAGTAAATGAATTAATAAAAAGAAATGAAATTGATTGGTCTCAGAGCCTTAGGTACTACTCTAGGGAAACAGAAACAGTTCCAATTCCAATACATTTTGAAGGTTCAGTAAGAACAAATGATTCAATGAACCATTTCTCCAAGGGCGGGTTTGTACAAGCTGTTCTAAAGAATGGGGCTTTTTGTAGGTTCAGGCATCTTCCTTCCCCAACGTCCTTGCACTGAAAAAGTGTTGCTCCACTGAGCCCATGGTTATTTTTGGCAAAGACGGTTTGCTTTACAGAGGAGGTATCTGTGGTTTAATTGTCAAATACCCAATCTGTTGTTACCAATGCACAGGTCACACTTCATTTATTTCCCTATTTTTAGTGTGTTCTTTCTCTATTTTTGTTAAATTAATAAGCACCTAGACTTCCTGATGCTAAAGCCATTTTGATAATTTTAACAGTGACTCGCTGAAGCCCCCGCAGAAGGAGATAAAGTTGAAGAGAGAATCTCCTGTTAAAAGAGAGATGGATGAAGACAATACTGATGATGACGATGAAGAAAGTGAAGATGAGTGGGAGGATGTGGAAGGTAACAATTGCTTGTTATTCATTTTAAGGAGTAAATATTCTTAAATATTTTTTTGTAGTTTGATTTTTGAATAATTTCTCATTTGGATTCAGGTAAATGTATATATTCTCTATACCAGAAGTATGCTCCATGTGGATATCTGTATCTTCAAGCGCTCTTATCTCATCATGCTTTTAGAATGGTTCCAAAGTAGAAAAAAAACACGACAACTCTGACCTGATGGTAGTAGCACCTTGAATTTGACTGTTTGTTGGCTTACATTGAAATTATGCTACCATGCAGAAAGTACTTTCTTAGCTGTTTGTGTTGTCTAATATCAAGCAGCTAAGAATGAGTAGGTTTGAAGATTCAAAACCGCGACACGCTGTTAAAGGAGAGTGGAGATGAAACCAACGGAGCTGTTCAATTAGCTGGCCATCAACAAACTGCGATAAGAATCTTGATGATCATAATCTTCGTATTTTGCTGCCACAGATTTATGCCTTCTAAAGTGAACAGTTGTCAGTTTTTTTCTTTGCTACTCTACAATTACCCTTCAAGTCATATCTGCTTCATTCACCTTTCTCTTGATTGAGTTTGCCTGCAGCAGTCACTTGCCATTAGACTGTGCTGGGCTGATTCCTCAACAGCAGGTGACTGACATCCCACAGTTATTTGAAATAACTGAGCACACATAGTGTTATGGAAGATCCAGGAGCTGGTAATTACTGGAGATGTTCTGCTTGTAGGTTGTTTGAACACTTGAGAAGGAATAGGTAGGTTCTTATCCCATTGTCAGACCTTCCTGGGGCATCTATTCCATGTTTACTTATCATTTAGCAATATTTTATTTCTCCAGAACTCCAGGGACCTGCCACAGATAAGTTAGAAGCTGCTGTTCTTCCGGCAATGGTGATCCCAAGCAATCCCGTTGAGATAGAGATCGAAACCCCAGAGCAGGTGAAGAAAAGAGAGAGGAGGTAAGAACAGGGAAGACGGTAGAGGGCCATTAAAGGAGGAAGTTAAAAGTACGCCAAGTCTTGACTGTCAATGACTTGCTCTGTTCTGGGTGGAGATCCCCACTTTGTGCAGACTGTTGAGTTGGAATGATGTGAGGTCATGGGATGGAAAATGGTTTACACAGACAATTTTATGAAAAATCTTCAGTGGAAGTTGGTGGCAATGGAGGTTTTTCATCTTCCTTGAAGATCAAGCGTGTAACTTCATTGTGCTTTACAATCTACATTTCCAGACCAGGGACAGTAGTAGCTCTCTTTCAAGGAGAGCTGTGGGTGGGTGAATGGCATTGCTGTACTGTAAATATCTTAACAGCTTAGGTGGAAGCCCATACCTGAGGTGTGAATAGGTGGGTCCAATGAATGTCCTTGGCAGCTGGGAGCATTATACCAGGGCAGGCTTTCTTTGGAGGCTTGATGATGTCGTTCGGGGCACTTTCTCAGGCCAGCCCTTTATAACAAAGCAACCAGAATATCTGTTGCCTCTAACTTAAATGACTTTATCAATTAAGAGAAAACTATTTTTCCAGGAATCTGAATGGAATGCTAGCAGTAACCTAAAAGTCAAATAATTCAGACAGTAAATAATCATTTTAGTATGGAGCTGTCCAAAGCTGCCTGGTAGGAAACTGTAGGTGTGTAAAGTTAGGTGGAATTTAGGCCATCTGAATATATGCAAGCTCTCAGTAGCCGGGTACACGGAGTTCACAGTTAGTGGTCAAATGCAGCCTGTGTGCCAATTCATACAGCCAGTAACTAAACTTCTTGATAATTGTGCGCAAAAGATTCTCTGGGATGGATTCTCTTCGTGAGCTGATCCAATCCAGGAATCTGGAAAGGCGGGTCCATAGAAAATCCACAAAATCAATTTCTTTTGTAATTATACGCAGAGAAAAAAGGAAAGCCGAGTTTGAGATGTATCTTCGGAGAATGATGAAACGTTTCTGCAAGGAGGTTCGTGAGGACACACATAAGGTATTGGTCACAGTGAAACCTGGCAGAGAAAAAATTGAGCATAAAGATGTCTGAACTGATTCATAATGAAGCAGCAGCTAATTTTGATCAAATAATTTGGGTCTTTGTCTAGAAGTGAAAAAATAAAAAGGCTGTAGTCCTGACAAATGCTCCTTAGACTTCTGCTAAACTGTAATTTAGAAACATTAGTGACTGCATTAGTGAAGTTGTAAATCACAGCAGATGTGAGTAGGGTGTACATTTCTCCATGGAGTGTGTATCTGCTCATTCTGTCAGTGTTAAACTGTCAGTCATGTAGAGTGGGAGACACTGATAGGGGCTTCAGGGCTTTACTGTCTTCTCATGGTGATCTGAAGACAGCCCTGTGTCCACCCTATATGTGCCTGGGAGGCTTCATCGTTGCCTGTCTCTGTTAAAAGGAGCAGTAAAGTTTTCCTCATCTGTACTGTGGATAATAGTTCCAGCAAAGAAAATCTCTTGTGAACTCACTATAGAAACTTTTTTCTCTCAGGTTCACCTGTTGTGTTTATTAGCAAATGGTTTCTATAGGAACAGGATCTGCAGCCAGCCAGATCTTCATGCCATTGGTCTATCCATCATCCCCACCCACTTCACAAAAGTGCCTGCAGGCCAAGTGGACCTTCTCTACCTTTCCAAGTTGGTGAAATGGTAAAACTCTCTCCTAATCATGCTATCACATAGAACATAGAGCCAGGGTTCCGGGAGAGGGATAAATGTAATTACCAATTTTCAGTGAGTTTTCTGATTTTCAGTACAAGGGTGAGAACCTATCCTTTTTACAAAAGGAAAGGATGAACTATGAATTTTAAGAATACAGTCACAAAAACTAGACAATAAGTAGGTGTCTCATGTTTCAGGTTTGTTGGAACCTTCACTGTCAATGATGAGCTTTCCACTGAAAAAGGAGAGCCCCTTCAGTCGACCTTGGAGAGGCGCTTTGCCGTCTATGCTGCACGAGATGATGAAGAGTTGGTTCATGTAAGTGACTGGGACGTGCAGGGTTGGTGCGTGCTGGATCAGTGCTGTAGCGCTGTCAGGTCATACACAAAGTGCTGTTTGAGGGATGGATGTGAATGGTGACTTAGGTGATTGTGTGGCTTTTTTTTTTTGTTGTGGTCTTTTTATCTGGAGTCCTTCTGTGATTCAATTATTCAATTTGAACTGTGCCTAACTGGACCCTCTAGTTCTGGTTGGTGTTACTGTGCGCTCTGTATTCTGCTGTGGATGCCTTTATGTATAGTGTATACAGCTACTTGTTCCTAAGTATGCTTTGGCTTCTTTATATTGCTTTAGCAGTGTAGATCAAAGAAAACCAGCCTAATACATTTCTTTTGAAATACTAATTTGAGTGAGGAAATTCTTGGGCTTACTTGCAGCCAGAGAAACTCTTTACAGATATTTGAGCTAGACGGTTGGTAGTTTGTTGCTATGCATCACCATTGAAGGCCAAAGGAATCGAGCTTTGATTTAGAGCAGACCTCGGCCAAGGCTTCAAAAGGACTTCGACTCTACAGTCATTTTGTGGTGGAATTGGATTAAAGGAAGAAGTGGAGTCAGTTGCTTCAAGTCACACAAAGATTTTGGTAAAATAGGTGAGGGAGGGGGAAACAGAGGAGCTCAGATTGACAGGGGACATTTGAAAGAGCAGAAATGAGCTGCTGCTTTGCAGGTGCATAGCTTGCAGCTCTGCCCTATTGCTGATAAAGTGGGATGTTGCAACTTCTCTGCTGCAAAGCAGGAAGCAGTTGTGGTGGCTTTGCAACCTTGCTGTGGAAATGTGGAGATGTCACTTCCTGGGGCAGGAGGAAAAGACAAACCAAGCCTTGCTTAGGCAGCTTCAGTTGAGTCCCATGCAGGAAAGGCAGTTGCCAGGTCACAGCTGTTGGGACTGTAATGACATTCTCTGAATGGCTGGTGTTTCTGCTGGGTTCAGCTGGTGGTATGTGGTTGGCTGTGGCCACCTTTGGGAGGCAGGATTTAGAGTCATCATACTCAGTTTTCCTCAAGAATGAGAGACTGATAGGGTAGATGGGAGTTGTGTGAACTACTGATTGCTCCAGCAGGATCGTTCATCTTGCCTCATTAGGAGTTGGTTCTAATCTGTGAGTTAACAGCAGTACCCCTGTCACACTAGTAACATAAATAAGAGCCAGAGAACACTGTGTGGTGCTTTAATAGTATAGCAGCTGGGCTACCTACACATCTGTGCCAGGGTATAACAGCACTGGGTGAAAGGTAAGAATCAAAATGATTTGTGACAGAACCTAGACTGTAGAAGAGTTTCAACCTTTTTTTTTTTTACTCCTTGGAAAAAGTTTAAACATGCTTTATTTTTTCTTTTGCAGATATTTTTAATTATTCTGCGAGCGTTGCAGCTGCTGTGTCGCCTTGTGCTGTCTTTTCAGCCTATTCCTCTCAAGGAGACAAGAGCAAAGGTAGGTTTTGTTGGGTGTGTGGAATAAGGAATAGGTCACTGGTTTAGAGAGTAGGATTGAAAAAACTTTCTGGCTGTTGCAGCTCCTCTAAAAAAAAACCTGCTGAAACAGTGTGTTTCAGCAGACTTCTTATGCTTCAGTGGTTTTAAATTTCTTTAAAACTTAGACAGCAAACATTTGCTGCTTGAGTGCACTTCCCTTTAGCCGTTTGCCTGAAGTTTTCAAGTCCCTAAGACAAGCAGATTTACCATGGTGGCCAACCTTTGGTCTACATGCATCTTGTGCTGGTTTCAGCCTTTTTTCTTAACATGTTCTTAGCCATGGTAATAAAAGTGACCTGGCTTCTTTCTTTGCAGGGAAAAAGCTCATGCAAGAGCCAGTCTCTCAGTGGTACCTCTGAGGGGCAAGAGAGCTCTGCCACAACACCCAAAGCTGTGGCAAAAAAATGCCCCTGCAGAAAAGCCAAACAGGATGAAAAATCTTCAGAGAGCGAAGAAGACAACGAGGAGCCAAAGAAACGCAAAACTGCTCAGACCAAAAGGACACGCAAGTCAAAGTTAACTACAGGCAGCCAGGAACAGAAGGAATCTGGTAATGAAGAGATCAGTTTAGCAGAAAAAGATGTGCCAGTCAGGCCCAAGAATGATCGTCGGAGGCGAGTGGCCTCCAAAGTGTGTTACAAAGAAGAGAGTGGAAGTGACGAAGGCAGTGTTTCGGACTTTGAGGTTTCAGAGGAGGAAAGTAATGTCTCTGATGAGGATTTTGAAACTGTCTCTAAAAGGCGAAGGAGCTCACTGGGCTCCCAGAAGTCAAAGGTAACAGCTATAAAAAGCCCAAAATCTGAGACTTCAGAATCAAGGCTATCCAGAAATTCATACGGAGCTGAGCCTAGGCCAGCAAAAAGTACAGCTCCACCCTTGCCTCATGCACAGAGAAAGAGAAACAAAATAATTTCTAGTGATGAGGATGATGGACAGCAGGAGGTAAGGAAAGTGATGGGCACAGACCAGTGGCTGGAGGTTTTCCTTGAACGTGAGGACAAGTGGGTGTGTGTAGACTGTGTTCATGGTAATGTTGGCCAGCCTCAACTGTGTTTCACGTATGCCACAAAACCGCTTTTCTATATTGTGGGATTTGACAATGATGGGAGTGTCAGGGATGTGACACAAAGATATGACCCGGTGTGGATGACCGCAACAAGGAAGAGTCGTGTGGACCCTGAGTGGTGGGAAGACACGCTGCAGCCATATCAAAGTCCCTATGTGGAGAGAGACAAGAAGGAGGAAAATGAGGTAAATGGCAATAGGTTATTCGGCACATTTTTTGTATTTGAGCTTGAAATGTTCAGGTTGAGCATGTTTTAAAGGGAATATACAATGATAGATTAAAATAATATTAAATAGAGGCTGTTCAGAGAAATCTGGATAGCAAAAATACTGGGCAGCCCATGCAGGAAACTTACTAATGTGGTTTCTGTACAGTTTAGCATTACCCTTCCGGAGAGGATCTGGGTACCCATCTAAGTACCTATTTGCAACAAGAATGCTTTAGTCTGTTGGCTCACCTGATTAAGTTTCTGGTGGTTTTTTTCCTTCGACCCATACTATAATAATTCTTATTTTATTACAAGGAGTAGCGCAAGAGTTGTGAAATCACTCTTCTTTGTATAATTCCTACAGTTTCAAGTTAAGCTTCAAGATCAACCTCTGCCAACAGCAATTGGAGAGTACAAAAACCACCCTCTTTATGCACTGAAGAGGCACCTCTTGAAATACCAGGCGATCTATCCTGAGTCAGCTGCTGTCCTAGGGTACTGCAGGGGAGAGGCTGTCTACTCCAGGTGAGTGGTGTGCATGTTTTCACATGCGACTGTGATCTGTGTAACAAATTTAAGAGCTAATTTGTGTGAAGACCATGATGGTATCAGCAGTAGTCTCAGGCCACATGCATAGATTAGGGTGAGGCATTTAGCTGCTCAGACAGCATTTGCGTATCATTTAGATGCAGCTTTTTTACAATTCCTAACATGTGAATAATAGTTTGGAAGTATCTTATGGAGAGACCTCAGAACTCTTACGGTGCTTCCTCCTGGCCTTTCTAGAGACTGTGTACACACGCTGCACTCCAAGGACACTTGGCTGAAGCAAGCTCGAGTGGTGAGGATTGGAGAAGTGCCTTACAAGGTAAGAGGGTTTGACTTCCTCCTGTGCAAGCCCTCTAAAGTTCAAGCTCAATTCTTTTGGGTTTTTGCCTTTCTCTCTGTCAGCAGATGTAGATTTCTCACTTTCTTGCATGGTTTGTGGTAGTTGCATTGTGAATCTGTCCACCTACTTTGCCTATAGTTCCTTTATACTGTCCAAAGCCCAGCTACCTCTTCTAATCCTAGCATCTTGTATGAACTGCAGGATCTGGCTGCCGGTTGGATACAGGTGCCATGGGTTATCATTTATAAGCAATGGATACTGAAGCTAGGAAATAGACATTTCTTCTCTCCCAGAGCCTTCTCCTTTGATGTCCTAGGAAAGTCTGAAATCACTGGCGGCTTGTTGTGGTGTTACAGGCTTGGTCATTGTATCTGCACAGATGGTGAAAGGATTTTCCAACCAGGCGAGGAAGGCACGCCTTGCAGAGCCTGCAAACCGGGACAAAGAGGACCTGGCACTGTTTGGTCGCTGGCAGACAGAGGAGTATCAGCCACCCATAGCAGTGGATGGAAAGGTAGCGAGGGAGGCGGAGGGCTGGTGTTAAAGGAAGTGTTCGTATGGAGCTGTGGGCTTTATTTTACCAGAAGTGGCATGTTTCAGAGGCGAGGTTGGTCAATAACATCTGGATTCAGGGTTAAGACTTCTGAGGTAACTGTACCCAGGAGGAAATGGAAAAACTTCATTGAGGCCTTTCTTTCCTGAGCACAAGTAATGAGTGCTAGCACTGCAGGCTGTTAACTTTATAATTTCGTTGATGCAATTTCCCTACCCCGTGTTTGTTTTGCTAATTCTCTGCATTACAGCCTGAGTAACAAGGCCTGGGCAGAGAACATAACTTAGGAGATATCCACACAGCTAAGTCTAGGCTTGTGCCTTGTCATGTGAATAATAATCGTATACCAGAGTGGAATGTACTAGGTCAGAAGGAAGGGCAAGTCCCTGAGTTGCAGCAGGGATTTTCCCCTCTCTCCAGAGAGCAGGAATGTCAACGATTGTCTTCAATTTTGCAATAACAGGTTCCTCGGAACGAATATGGAAATGTCTATCTCTTCGTGCCATCCATGTTACCCATTGGCTGTGTGCAGCTGAGACTCCCAAACCTGAACAGATTGGCGCGGAAGTTGGACATTGACTGTGCTCAAGCCATCACTGGATTTGATTTTCACGGCGGCTACTCGCACCCAGTGTATGTAAAGCTGCTTTGTTGCAGCTGGTAGATTTTGATGTCCTGCAGAAGCTGTATAGCCTGTGTTAGGGAGTCCGTGCCCTCTTCTGTGCTAGTACTGGCAGTGGACTCAGTGGCCCTGGCGGATGGAAGTGACTTTATCTGCTTTGAGAGTCTGCACTTGTGCAGGGAGGACAAGTGATGAGTTACACACTTAGATCCTGTGAGACAAACAGATGGTTCTGTCAGTATTCAGTAGCTTGCTTTTGGTTTGTCTGGGTCAGCAGGCATTTGCTCCCTTTCTTTTTTCTTCCAGTAGCTGACAGAGGATTGTGTTCTCCTTCCTAGTACCGATGGCTATGTTGTCTGTGAGGAGTATAAAGAGGTCCTCATTGCTGCCTGGGAGAATGAACAAGCAGAAATAGAAAAGAAGGAGAAGGAGGTGAGAACTGGTTTTGAAGCTTCCTTACCGTTATATTTATTAAGTACATTTCATTCAAACTGTGGACAGCTGAACAGGGGTGGGCTGTGTAAGCAACAGACGCAGAGCTCTGTGACCGTGGGCAGCTAGTTGTGCCCCCCAAATGCCCCATTTTGGGCTTGCTGTCCAGACTGCAGTGGGATGCAATACAAGTGTGTAGCAATATCTGAAGTGGTGCATACTCTGGAATAGTTTTCCATGACTGCTGGGAAACGAAAATGAGGAATACACATATGAGGTTAAAGTTTTGGAGGTGGTTCTGGTGTAATTTACACAGTCAGGGTGCACATCAGAAAGTGACACTAATGTATTTAGCAGGTAATTGGACACCAATAAATTTTGCTCTTAAGAATTCTACTGGTCTATAATCTTTTAACGCAACACCCTTAAGTTGGTGTGGGTTTTTTTAATGGCAGTTTAAAATCTTACAACTTCCATTTTCTGTGGGCGTAAATACATTGAAGCTTACAATAGTAATTTTTTCAACAACAATCCCACACAGAAGCGGGAGAAAAGAGCTCTGGGGAATTGGAAGCTGCTGACAAAAGGACTTCTCATCAGAGAGAGACTGAAGCAACGCTACTCCATCAAGGTATTCTGCATTTTTATTAATGATTTCTTTTTCAGGATGATCTTTCTCTACCAAGAGATTTTTTCCCAGTCTTTCCAATGTGTTATGTTTCCAGCTGCAGAGTGTAGAATTCCTAAAGTGTCGTTGCTCAAAAATCTTCTTCTTTTCTGTTGCTAGCACGTGACTAGCAACTAGTAAAGAAAACTGCACCAGAAATTCAGTGTGGTCTCGCCCATTAAAGATTCATTATTGTTTAACAAGAGATGAGTGTTTCCCAAAGCATTGTTTTTGGTATTATTTTCTGTTTTAACATACCCTCTTCCTAGATTTATTCCCCCAAGCCAAGCAAGTAGCTAACAGGAGGAGAGGGGGCTGCTTTTTGTTGAGAAGTCAGATTGGTTTAGTTCTTAATCTTTTCCCCATTGAGAAAGGTGAAAAGCACAATCTTTTTAAAAGAGGTTTATTTTTTTTTATTCTGCAGCCAAAAATATTTTGCTTGTGTTGAAAGAATGCTTGACATCTAGGAATAGAAACATGCTGCTTTGGGTGAGAAGCCCAAACCACAGCAGCCAACTTTTGTGATGTCATTAAGTGTCACTTTGACAGAAAACAAGCCCTTTTAGAAAGGGGTAGTTATGAGTGATTTCTAGAGCAACTTTTCCATTTTCACACCTGTTTTTTCCAGACTGAGCCCTCAGCACCTGAAGCAGAGAAAGGAGCAGGATTCTCCTCTGATGAAGAAGGGGGTCCAAGTTCAGTAGGGAATGTGGCCATTTCTTGGCCCCAAAATCGCCAGTTAGAGAAAAAAAAAGAAGAGAAGACAACCAAAAAGAGCAAGCGAGAAAAGAAAGGAGAAGCAGCACAGTTGTTCCCTTTTGAGAAACTGTGATCAGAACAAGCGTTTCTTTGCCATTTCCAGATGCAAGAACAGTAGTCACAACAAAAGTATCCTTTGCCAGTTAAGAATTTAGTCTTTCTGTGCACTTTTGTTTCCGAGCTATCGGGGACCAACCTAATTCAGTATCAGGAGTTTCTTTGGCTGTTGTGGGTAATTAGGTTCATCCTTTTGTCCTGGGACTTATGAGAAGCAGATGTGCAGTTGTACCTTCTGAGAAGATCACTTTGTGCTGTTGGGGTTTTTTGCTCTCTTTTGTATCACTCAGCACTAATAATTCTGTTTTCTGAGGCATTCCTTTCATTAGCACTGTCTTTTCCCATTTTTCTCCTTTCCATTTTTTCCTGCTTGTTCAGAACTGAAGCACGCAGCTGCTACTTAACAGCCTGTGGTGAGCTGGCCAAAGGAATGCTAATGCCTCTTTGATTCGTACCTTATCAAAATCAGTGATGAGGTAGAGTTCTGGTCTTACTGTCTCATCATCACAGAAGGGGAAATACTTCCTCTAAGGTGTAAAAAAACATAGAATCAAGATTTGGAGGAATCTGAAAATTTACTTTCTAAAGAATACCTGCCTTTTGTGAAAACTCTGTTTTGGTTTTTCATCTTAGAGTCTTCCTTTACTTTTTCAGAAATCTTGTGCATTAGAAGGGAGAAGCCCTGTCCTTATTTCAAGCTTAAGGTTAAATATGTCTTCTTAAGTAATTTGAATATATACGTATTTGTTTCAGTTTTGTTTTATCAAGAACCTGTGGATATATTCTGGAGCAAAACATGTAAAACTGGCTGAGTGTCATTGTCAGAAATGAAATTCACTGAAACCAGAGAGCTCTCATAAACATTATCCAGTACCTAAGCATTTAAAAACTGTTAAAAGAGGAATGTTAAGTCTACACAAGCTTTTCCTGCAGTTTTGTAATAGAAATGTTGATCTGTCTCTCGCAGTATTTTTATAATGAAATTACACTGACACTGTCTCTTTAGAGGGGAATACAGTTTAGTCATTGGTGGATGTGGTCACGGAGGAAAGATTGAAATGTAAGAAAATGGCTTACATTTAATTATGTTCAGAAAAAAACTCTATTTTTGTACTGTATTTGTAGAAGAAAATAAAGTATGGGAAGAGTATGTTGTCCGTTACACCTCCCCTCTGGCCAGCTCATCCTTCTGTGAGCAGCTCAGTTTCTCTGGAAGGACTCTCAGGCAAGGATAAGAACACAAATGGGGTCCCTGAATGTCCCAGAGCTGGCTGCTTGTGAATTGGTTTCGTGTTAAGGGTCTTCATTCAGAGTTTTTAGTTTTTGCTACCAAATTCTAAATAAATAAAGACCAACCTACATTAGAGGCTTGGGGAGTAGATACGGCCTGTATATGAGGCTTCAAGAAAAAATTCTACATCTTGCGTGAACTGGTAAACCTGCAGAGGGCACAGAGGAGGTAGCTCCTTCTGCGTTGGCCCTTGTGCCGGTACGCAGGATACACCCCGAAATGAGTACTCTGAGCACGAGGGCCCCTGTCCGGCTCCTGCTGGCATCGGTAATTTTTCATCTGCTTAAAACAGGAGCTGGTACCAGCTGTACCAAAGTGACTCCGTGCTTCCTAGCTTGGGACTCAGCATAGCTAGACAAAGTTACGAGTCTAGTGACTATGGCAGGATCCTACTTCTCAGCTGTGTAGGCAGCCAGCTCGCCTAACCTAAGCGTGCAAGAGATGAGAGAGTAAATACACTTGAAGGGAGACCAAAGCAGAAAGGGAAGACGAGTGACAGATCAGGTGCATGTTCTGCCAGGTTTTGGTAAGGCAGCAAGAGAAATACTGCTTCAGCTGTTCCTATAGAAACCTTGTTTGTGTACATGCGATGAAAGCGAGCCTTGGCTCCACCAGCGTGCCTGGCCTGGGAAACACAAAGCTCTTGTCTGTGAAAGGAGCCCTCCTTTATTTTGCGTCATTCCTGTGCACACACTAATATGTAAGACAAAAGTAGTTTAAGCTGTTGAATGCATAGGTAACCCCCCAGTCTCTTTAAAACCACAAGAGGCTGTATCCAGCCAGGTTGAACCATCGTATTTTTCAAATAGTCTTATGGAGGGAAGGAAGTTACTTAAGTAGTGAGTAATGGGGAGTAAAACTGCAGTAGGCTGGAATCGGGCTTTCATCACACAGAAGTATGTCGGCCAGGTAGCAGCTGTGCTGCTCTTGGGAACTTGCTTCCCAAAATGGGGAAATACTTGCAGGCTAAACAAAACCCAACTGCACATTTATCTCAACCAACAACAGAAAACTAGTCCATGTGGAAGCAACAAACTAATCCTCCATGTACCTGGACACTATTCCTGGACATGAAACGTGCAATACTTAAACGCAATAAAAAAGAAGCCTACAGACCAACCTTTTGAAAATTGTATTTTATTAAATATACAAAAGCTCAGCACTTCTGTAGAAAATGGTATCTTCATCTCTAATAGGGTAATGCTGGTTAGTTTCCCGCCTCGCTGGTGAAACAGCAGTCCAACCCTTGTTTTTCTCCCCAGTGGAGTGCAATTCTTAACTGATGGAGCAGAAGCTGGTGTCAGTGAGCAGCAGAGCAGCATCACTAACGTGTCAGCTGTGTGCACGAGACCACTTGCACTTCCTGCAACCCTTTACTTACTACTACTGCTTTTACCAGAGGAACCGAGCCATGAGACTGAATTGACAACATTCAAATACTAAAAGAATTAAGGCTAATAAAGTAACTACTCCTTCTCAAAACATTAATGATTTATAACTCAGATCTCTTATTTCAGTACCATCTGTAGCAAACATTTGCTTCTCTGTATGTTCAAGTTAAGTTCCTTTGGTATGGGGAACACATTTCTCCTGACGGTTGTAACTGGATTTCATAAATGAAGACATTGTAAGTGTATGCAATTCAGTACAAAACCAGAAGAAAACCCACTGTCATGTAGGGAGGGCACATCTGGAAGCCAGACTCTCTAGGTGGAGAGAGATATAAAACCAGTACAAGATACACTCTAATCTCAAGTACTGGTTACAGCAGAAATCTGTTAACATGAGCCATCACAACACTACAAGAAGGCATTCCTCTAACATTACAAAGCTCAAAATTTAGCCTACTAAAGTCTATGAAATCTAATCAAGCAAAAATGTTTTCATTATTTAATTTCATGGAGTATGTTCATTGTCCTTATCAAGTGAAATTCAAGAAACAGTATACACAGCAAAAAAAACCCAAATATTTTAAAGAATATACATTCAATTATAAAAGTTAATTTTGCTTCAAGGCAGCAGGATTTATTTTTAAAGGTTAGTGACCTCTGAGCATCCCCTTAAATAAGTCCAATTTGAAGTTAAATTTTTGAATACTTATGTGATGGTACAGTCCACACTACCAGTTTGGATGCTTAACCAAGAACAGCTTCAGAGGCTTTTAAAAAGTTGGAGGAAATCAAGGCTTTCTTACAAATCCACCCTACCTCAGAGCACTACTAACCTGGCCACTCATTACTTCAAGTTACTTCGAAAATCCTGAGTCCAAAAGCATACGTTTTATATACGTATCGTGTGAAATTCAACTAAGCTGTGTTTTTCCTTTGGAACACATATGCTTCCAACATCAACCAAAGAAGCAGACACGACTCTGCATATAAGAAAAGGCAGCAGAGGGAGGGTTTGTCAGAGGTACACACACACAGTTCCTAAGGATATCTAATCATGGTCCATGTGATAAAGATGGCACTTGCTCCATAACACACAAGGTGCCCCACCTGTCAGTAAGGACTTGCCAGTCCTCAAACCAGGGGGAATTAGTAAGTGGTAAGAGGTACAAATCCGCTTGTTCACTAACTTATAATCAATAGACACTCCAAAATGCTTTTTTCCCCAAAGCCCAGGTCATCGACTTCCTACAGAGAGCACCCTACAGTCATAGTTTTCATGGATAATGTGTATCAACAACCACATTCAAGCCCCCTCCCCAGCTCCTGCTGCACACTGCTGGGTTTCTAACCAGGATTCAGCATAAAACCCGGCCACCTCCTTCTCACTGCTGCTTCTTTGGTGGAACACGAGATTTCGCAACCACAATTGGAACTACAGAGAGCAACCCGATCAGCAAAGCCCAGAGAGGGCGGTAGAAGAGCCAGCCAATGGAGATGGTCAGGAGCGACAGCGAACTGGCTACGCAGAAGGCAAATGCTTTTAATCCAATGTTAACCAGATCTCTCACAACAGGAAACCAGTCCACTGCAGAAAAAAATTCAACAAGGGATAAAGCAGTTGACAAGATGATAGTTTAAAAGGAAGTCTTATTCATGCCTAGGATTTGCACACTAACTATTGCAACCAAAGGACAGATTCAAATTAATTATCAAGAACACTGGATAAGGCATTTCAGCAGACTATCCTCAAGGCATTTGATAATTAAGCAACAGCTAAACATCTAAGACAATGGTATCCTCATCTCTTCAGACAGAAGTAACTGCATCGCAGCACCTTGAGTTAGACTTGAAAGAACCAGCTCAACATGTGCTTTGTGTTCTGATTTTGGTAAGCACTGTGCTGGGATCTTCTGAGAATGGCAATAGATATTTGTGTGGGTTTTTTTTATTTTAACATTCACAAAGCAACCATCTGGTTCTGGGATCCTGTTTACCTGCAATTGCCTACAATGACTTTCACATCAAATCCAATCCGAGTTCAAACAGGATTCCTCCTGACCTCCAAATGAATTAATTGCATAAGAGAGCAAGAGAGGACCTCTCTAGGGATTATGATCCTATTTCTAAATAATTTTACCTTACTGTAAAAAACTTACCCAAAGTGTAAAAGATTCGGGTCATTAGGCTGATGCCTACAAACATTGCCAGCCAGCCTGCTGCACGGAGAGCCCAGGTCTTCATGGTGTTACTCTCATGCTCTTTCTGAAACACTTCCTGAAAGCAAACACCATTATATGCAGCCTGCTCCTCAATTTCTTTTGAGATCCTCTTGATTCCAGTGTATTACGAGCAAACCAGAGCCGACAGCATTGCAGGAGTACAAATTTGCTCATAGAAGATATATTGCAGCTCATTCTGCAGGGTCTTTTTGCGCAGTATTGCTGCATACTACAATAGATTTCAAAGTGCAGCATGAGGGAAACCCGCATTTTTCTAAATTAAGACAGCTACAGAAGGACCGTTCGACACACTATAACTACAGGCAGAAAGCACACAGGTTTTGCTGCAAATGGATACATTCAACATTACTGTGGAAAATAAGACACTAATAAGTAAATGTAAGGAGGAACAATATGACTTCACCACGTTTGGAGGAAGAGAGAAAAGGCAACAATATCCACTGATGGCTAAAGGAAAGGCGTATGAAAGAAGGCAAGCAGTATGCAGGGAAGAAAAGATGAAAGGTATGTGTATATTGCATCAGGCAAAGCAAAGCATCTATTTGCAAGAATTCCAAGATATTTCAAAACGAATTGTGCGCCCCTCTGGCTCTATAGAACATACACATGGAGATGGCTAAGACATAATAAAGCACTTAATGGGAAAAGACACGTATGACTGATTGACTACTTGTGCATAAAAGTACAAATTATTCACTTGTAGTGAGTTAATTTCTAATGAACTGAAATTCTGTCTAATGAAGATTCAGAGCTCGTAGCAGAGAGCTGATTCTGCTGCTACTCTCTTTCAACTCAAAACAAAAGCCTTTTTAACTGCTTTTGGAAGCTCCTGTAAATTCTTGACATCTGGGATTTTTGCAGCAGGGCATGAAATAATCATTAATGGAAACAAACCTACTAAAAGGAGTAAATGAATCACCAAATTGCTGGAGCATGCAGGATTTATTGGAGCATAATGCTCTGCCTGAAGGTTCTTCCTCAGCCAGAATAGCAGTAAACATTTCAAACAAGCCCCAACTCCTGTTATTAGAAGCTGAAGAGAGGATAAGTCCTACAGTTTGTTTAATTAAAGCTTGATTTTTTTACTATTTTTACATACGACCTTTTCAAAAACATGTGCATGCATGTGTAAGTGGGAAACTACCAAAGAGCAAATAAAAGCAAAATGAGAAGGCACAGAAACAGCCTTTAAAGCAAAGGATGTTCAGCAGCAACACAAGGAGATTTTAAAAAATAAATACATAGCTATTTTAGCCACGGTTCCTTTTTAAAATTAAAACAAACCATCAGGAATAATTACAACCAAATTATGTTCTGCTAGTGGGTGAAGCACCAAAGAACGTGCAGAAACCTGGAAGGCAAACACAGGCTATAACGTGTTATCCTAGAGAAAAGAGGGAGTGTTTACACACGTAAATGCCAACTTTACACTAAGCATCTCCTCCTGTAGAGCAAGTCTGAAGGAGAATGAGAGCTTACTCCCCTGATGCTTCTGCACTACCATCTCCAATTTTAACCCTTCACTAGTACAGCATGGTATCTCACCTCCACAGAGAGATCCCCAGGGTATAGAATCTGCAGGACATCTCCAGACTTGGTATGATATGGAACCAGTTGATCGCCTCGCTGGCGAGCAATCACAGTCACCTTGTGGAGAAAGGAAGAAATATTTACTGGCTACTGAGTTGGGAACAGAGTTTGCAAAATACAGAAACAGCTGAAGACTCACCTTATCAGCAGAGCCCAAATGGGGGTCATCTCCACTCAGACCTGCATAGAAGAATGAGACGCGCAGGTCTCCTACCTACAAACAAGAGAATAATGGAAGTCAAGAAAGATTTCTTTACAAAGGAGAATCACAGGAAAGAGAACTCTGCATGGGAACACCCCTTATATATCAACACTTTTTCTGAATGTTTATGTCAAGCCAGAGAATACCCAGAATTATTTCCAAGCTGTACTTTTTTTCATGCCTAGCTGATAGCTGAAACAGACTAGCTCAAATGCTGTTTTGCAATACCCCCTCCACTTTAGCTGCAGGAGCACATTAACACCAATGAGATCCTATGTTCATCCCTTGTCATTTCATCTTTTGGCAGAGGAGGGCAGGCAGCACAAGCTGACAACAAGCTAGTTCACTGTACTCCGTTCAGTACAGCAAAGCAGAGGTAGAACCCACTTCCCAGCTCCACCCTGTGTCCTTCCATTTAAAAGCATGGCAGAATCAAGAAAACAGAAGCCAAAGAAGTAGGATCTGAAACTTCCTGCAAGAGAAGCACTCATGCTGAAGGACTGTACTAAGGGTGTCATCCTATGTGATGGTCTGCACTCCAATGCAAATGGGACATGCCCCAATTTTCTTTTTCGCATAACAGTAATCACTGCTTTGGTTTATCTTTCTCATCTTACTTCTGGACGCCTGGGGTTCTCACTGTGGTAAAAGTAATCTCCTCCTCGGGTAACATCAGCATGTGGATCCTCAAGGTTTGACAAGCTCAACTGCTTGAAGTCATCAATTTTATCCACAAGACCTAAGCAGAATAAAGAAACAAGCTCAGGTCCCATGCCTAACGTGAAACAGCCAATTTGCTGGCTGGCTTCCTGATTATCACCTGAAATAACTGCTGCTGTGGAAAGAACCAAAGTCCACTGCTGATGCAACAGCAGACACAAAGCCAGTACAAAGCAATCCTTACCCTTGGAAAGAACAAAGCTGCCAACCTGGACGTTAGGAGAAACAGCAGTGAAAGACTCCACAGCCATGGCACTGAGGAACAAAGAATCTGATTAGTCCTAGAATTATGATCAAACTTTTGATTTGCAGTATGTAATACACAGCACATAAAATGTCAAATGTCAAACATCAGGAGAAATTCAAAGAGCTAAATGGCTGTCACAATGTGAAAACAAATCCATCAAGAAACTGTGTCCAGACTTCATAGTCTTGGAGCCATTAAAATAAGTTAAGATGAGTTATGACTGTCTCATCCCCTGGCCTGACCTTCCATACACACTATAGGATTTCAGTAGTTTTTTTCTGTACTGAACCTATAATGGGCTTAAATGGAATTCAACTGTTGGGAAGCTGTTCAGTGGTGATATAGAGGCTTTGAGTGACAATGAATTAATCACATTCCTAGATGAATTCCTGCAACATTTAACTACACTCATAAATGCACTTTTACTTCTAGCCTGAATTTATGTAGCTTCTGCTGTCAACTGCTAGATCCTACCTGCGAGATTAAGAAACATAGGTCATAAACCTTCTCTGTATAAACATAGTTCTACATCATGGCCAAGTTAATTACATTCCAAATTCAGGAATCCTTTACTTACAGACTTGACTTGGTTCTTATAAGTAGTACTACAAGTATCTCCTTGGCAGTAAACAACAGATTTTATTTTCATAAATGTCTAAGTTGCATTAAAAGATAAGATGGATGGACAGAAGGAAGGAGACATGTAGTACACACTTAAAATAGAGTCTCATTAATGCTAGGCATGAATTCTAAAGTTCAGCATGTCTGCATACACCGTGCTGTCTCACGCAAGGATCCACCACAGTTATGTTCAGTCTCCTTGGATTGTACACTCAGATGAAATGTACTTAGCTGCAGCACGTGTTAAATTATGTACTGCAATGGCACTAAACCAAAAATGTTTCTTCCTCTCAATTGGAGATTTTCAGTTACTGGAGAATGCTTGGAGAATTTTCACTAACAAAAAAGTGTGCATGGGGAGGGGAGACAAAGCACGTATGTCATCTGTGCATCCTTTTTTCCATTATCTCTTGTCTATACAAGTCTGCTACTTGGGACTTACAATCAAAAACACATAGATCTTTGCTTTCCCTCCTGAAATCATACTTCCAAATAAAGGACAGTATGTGATGAGCCCACAGAACCAAACAAAGTTCTGAAGATTTTGCAAAGTTCAAAGTTTTGTTGAAAACCTGGTCCTGCTATCTCTCTAGCTGTATTTTTCATTCACACATGATACTTTTTACTTTTTTGGCATCCTGCATCCTAAGGAACCAAGCAGGTGCTGTGAGAATGACAAGCAAGCTAAAACTTAGCATGAAAAATGACACATTGTATTGTAACTAAAATGCTGCAGATGAGAGGTATATAAAACAAATTATATATGGGCGATTGCCACAAATAAGCGTGTGAGCTCATGCATGCTAGCTTAGAAAAAGCAGCATGCAAGTGGCATGACCAGCTCACGGGATGCCTGCTATTCTAACCCTGTACTTGTAATAGAGGAAAGAATTATTAATAGACTGCACTAACAGACAATAAAAGTCAGAAAGGAGCCCATGCAAGTTCTCTTACGTGGAGACCACATAGTCCAGAGGTAATATAATAGCCTGACGTCCAGCCATTACTAATGGAGAGCTTAATTGTGGTTCCACCAGGCAGCTTTGAACTGCACTCTAATTTCTCTATGCTTTAGTTCTCCCAGCTACCAAAAGACCAACTGTTTCCATCTACTTCACTGTGTCATGACAATTAGTCATTTAGCTTTCATCTTTCATCAGATACAGTGACAGAATCTAGAGGGTCTGTGCTAGGTGGTAAATTACCTAGGGTTTTTGTGTCCAATTTCTCGATCAAAGTTTCTGCTGTTCACAACTTCCGATTTCCATTCGGTATCTAAAGAAAACAATATGAAGGTTGAGGAGAAAACAGGAAAAGTTGCCACTCAGTTACTGAAGACACCTTTCAATCAATGGATCAGTTCTAAGTTACACCTGCAGTAATAATGTTTACATCAAAGCATGTATGTGACAGTCTGAACCGATACTTAAATCTGTCTTGCTAGCATATTAACAAGGAATGGCAGGATTTAGAAAAAAAAAGATTTCAGCGATAAAATTGTAACTCAACTTTGCTCGGTTGGAGCTTTGCTGTTGCATTTGGCTTCTGGCTCCACTCTTTGGGAATAATCTGGTTTTACGAGGAAAGGCTGTGAGCTCTGCTGGAACTAGCAAATTTCAGTGCAGTCAAGCAACAGGTAGAGATGGTACCTGTATGTGCCACTGTCAAAAATGCATAATGCTGCCTTCGTTCAGACCACAGAAGCCTTCCCACATCCCCAGAACAGATTCCAGTAGGTTTCTTATAACTCCTACAAAACTGGAGTCCCTTTTTTGAGCCACTTCTGTATTAAATATAGCTTGATCTACTTCCGTGAAAGCGTAGAGAGGAAGGAAAGGGAGTTTGGTTAAACAGTAGAGATAGGATCACTGTAAGGGATATTCTGGTGTATTGGGTACATGGCAAGATTTTGGTAGTGGGGGTCTGCAGGGCTGGCCTCTGTGGGAAGAGCTCAGGGGCTGCCCTGTGTTGGACACAGCTGGCTCCACATTGAACCCACTGCAGGCCACAGCTGAGCCCATCATTCATGGCACTTCTGTGAAAATGTTTTTAAGAACGGGCAGAAGACATCAAATGGGGAAGGGAAGGAACAAAAAGGAGAGAGAAACAATGGAGGGAACACCAAAGTGAGAGGAGGAGGTGCTCCACAGAGAGCAGATATTCACTGAACCATGGGTAGAGTCCGTGCTGGAGCACAGGAAAAGTGTAAGAAGGAAATAGTGGCAAAGTGAACCCACGATGCACTGGCTGTAAGCCCCCCTGCACTGCTCACCGTTTCACTAAAGGGAGCAAGTGTAACCTGTGGCAATAACAAAGCAGGGGGAATTGTCAAGGGGAGAGGAGTCTGGGGTGAAGCTGAGCCTGGGAAAGGGTGAGAGCAAATGTGTTTACCCAACACTCGATTCAGTAATTAAATATTTATTTTAATTGGCAATAAATTAAGTTAATTTTCCCCAAGTCAAGTCTATTTTGCTCACGATGGTAAAATTGGTAAGTGATCTCCCTATCTTTATTTCAACCCACAAGCTCTCTCATTCCTGTTCTTCCCAATCCCTTTCCTGGTCCTACTGAGGGAGAGAGTAAGCAAGTGGCTGTGTGGGCCCTTGGCTGCCACCACATCTAGTAATATACAAACTTTTACTGGACAGAATCTTGAGAAGGCAGCTAGTTTTTTAAATGGCATTTCTTTCTGTTCCCTGCCACTGTAAGGCTGTTTTTCACAGCTCACAACCACTAGCTTTGCTCCTTATGGATCTCCATGCTGCAGGGTCCCGTGCTTCACTGAGCTGGAGTATTTTTATGATCACACCCAGAAATTGCTGCACACCCACGCTACACATCTGTGTGCTTTAATCAGAGATAAATCAAGCACAGAGACCAATCTCCAGATACACGATGACTCAGAGTATTTTTCTGCCACTGGGTAGATCAGAATAATGCTCTTGGTTCTGCTCCTGCCAAAAAAGCATTTGGCAAAAGCCACAGTGCACATTAGCTGGTATCAACACCTAAACAGACTCTCAAGAGGCTGTCTTACAGGCTGGAGCTACACTGTTCTTTGCTGTCTATTCTCTTCTGCTCGTGCTTGACACATGTCCAATTATTCCACTTCTGAAGAGTAATCTCAGGCATAGCTTTGAACACACTCCCACCTCTGCCCATGTCCTGTCACTGAGGACCTTATGGGTCCTACCTCAGGAGCATCCTATCCCTGGATGCTGCTCTGAACCTCTAGGAGCTGCAAGACAAGACTTTCTGTAGTAGTTGCTTGCTAATAGCATGCTTTCTTTCACCTCAGTTGCCTCAAGAAAGGGAGGTCCTGACATTTGTTTAGGAAACAGAATTTCTGCTTATTTCTTCACATTCCTTTCTTTCCCAACAAGAAAATACAGTGCTTACAACAAAAATCAAAATACACACACATAAAAGTCCAAAGTTACTTGCATAAAAGGAAGGGACTTTCTGTTGATCAACTTACTGTAGGAATATTTTGTCTCTTTCTTAATCTCACCATTCTCTTCATACTCCCTGCGGAGAAAAGGGGTGGGATGAGAACCAAAACAGTGCACACACACCCCTGCTCAGGGCAGAATACACTTCACAAATGAAATGCACAGACAGCTCACTGGCAACACAAACTTATCTTTACAAGTAAACTAACTCTTCTCTGAACTACCTATTCTAAAGACATAGATTCTCTGTACAAGGAGAAAACTACACACAAATGCTCAACAGCCACAACAGTTTTTCTCCCATGTTGCCAACAAGGAGCTGGCTAGATCAATGTGGAACAACCAGCATTAAAGACAGTGAGGCAAGCTGACCTAAGTCAACAAGTCTTTACAGATGCTGCACCATAACCATGTTAAAACCCAGAAGTTATTTTTCACACCGTCACAACGTCTGACACTTTTTTTGTATGACATGAAAAACATTTGGCAAGTGAGTTCTGTGCAGTCAGACCTACATAATGGCTAATAATTTTTATACTACTGTCAGTGGAATTATTATCATTAACAGAAATGTTTTTCCCCTTCTACTTGCAACTACTAGCAGAGTAGCTAACATCTCATTACAGTTTTGTAAATACCCTTGAAAAGGTATCTATACTGCAATATTTCCTACTATAAACAAATCTGAGCAACTAAAATTTCCAGTTTACTTTCACAGCTAGAAATTAATGTTGGCTTTTTATTATCACAGTAAGGGGTAGCAGTCTTCTAAAAATAGAGAAATCATGTCTTGGTTTAATTAAGTACTGTACTTCAATTTGCATATGTATGAAGTACCAAAGAAATTAGGGTATTTCCCTCATAGTCATGTGCCAAAAAGTTTCAAGTTTCCACAAGTCTGAGAAAAGAATCTGACTTCTAGTTCAATTGGGTACAACAGGATTTTTTAATTGCTTTGAAATAGTCTAGTATATGTTAGGCTTTAGGTATCGACCAGGCAGTTTTTGGGTCAATGGGTTTATCAGAATTTATTCTGGAATTCATAATCGATCTTGTTGGGTTCACTTACTTTTTGAACACAAGTTAAGACCCCTTTGGGTGATTAAAAAAAAACAACAAAAAAAGACTGACCAACTGAAAAAACCCAACAAGTAAATAATTGTCATTGTGGAAGAAAGGAAGAAAGCCAAGGGAAAAGATGACGAAGTGTCTGAATTCATCAAAAATCTTTTTGCATTTCCTTTCTGAGGACAGGGAAAAAAATTGGCTTGAGGGTCCATGATGAAGTTTTAGAGAATGGCAGCAGGAAAGGCTTAGCAGATGCAGGAAAAAAGAGGATTATAAAATTTTATTTGAAAAAATTCAGGATGAAGCATTTTGGGACAATAGTTTTGATTCTGCTCATCAACTAGCAAGCAGGGAGTATTATGGGGGTGGAGTTACAGAAGTCCTGATGGGCAGAAAGTACATCAATAAATAAAAGCAGCTTTAGGAACATTAGAAAGGATAGAAATCAACTGAGTCTTTGGGAAAACCACAAGTGGTTCTTTTTTTTTTTCTTTTTCATAAATTGGTAAAGACCTTTGAATTCTGTTGACAACATATATGACAGAAAATAGATCAATGTGCTCTGAGGTGGCCCAACATCAGCCAGCAATAATAAAAACAAAAAAACCACAGCTGCAGCATGGAGGCCAAGAAAACCCATATGAAGTTATACAAAATCAGGAAGTGGCAACATTTGATAAAAGGCCTTGGAAGTTACCCAAATTTTATTGGATGCAAATTCTGCAGTACTGACCGTCTACAAAACCTGACATCTCCAAGGAAACGAAAGTGACTCTCTAAAAAAACCTAAGAGCTCTAGAATTCTCCTGCCGTCAAGACTTGTTGGGTTTTTTTCCTTTGGGGGTAGGGAGAGGAAAAAAAAGTGATGGGATCCTGTTACTACAACAGCTTTATAAAGAATTTTTAAAGATTTCTTTCACTTACGTGGAATCTTCATATTCTACCCATTGATACATTTCCACTTTACGTTTAAGTTTGACAGCCTGGATGGAGAGCCCATAGCTGGGATCAAACAAAGGCTATTTAAAAATTAAAGAAAATACAAGTCAGTATACATGCTGTAGCTCACAAAATCAAACACTGTACTTTAATTATCAAACTTATTAGTATACCTCACTGTACATAGCTAGTACTATGTTACATACAGTTGAACATAGAATAAATGCTATGAAAGACAAAAATGAGCATCTCTATATCACTGATAAATCTGACCTAAAGAATCATCAACAAAAATTATTGCCATAGTGAAGAATAAAACCAGAAATGCTGGCTAATGGTATACAGGCTTAAGTGTTTAAACCAGGGGGAGATTTTATTTTGCTGGAAGCTACCATGCTGTGTTACCTTCTGCAATGCAGGCTGACCACGGAAAATGTCATCGCTACTGAAAAGTCAGAATGTGCAGAGCCTCTATACTGCAAGAGCCTAAAGTATCATCAACAGGTTCCCTATATATATGGGAATTGAAATTATCCACCAAAGGCAGTGGGAGGGTAAACACAGCTAGAGGTGGCATGTTGTTTGGGAGTAGGGAGACCAAGTCTCACAGCATCTCCCCAGTTCCAGGCCAGGAACCAAAGCTTGGGTGGTAGCTGGCCGTGCTTGCAGCAGAAGAGAGAAGCTATGTGTCTTCTCCCTAGATATCAAACATAATTTTAATTGGCAAAGACTTTTCCTTCCCTCCAAGCTTGATATACTCATATCTTCAAGATACTATTTTATTTACCTTAGATGTACTCAGAGCACCAGCTAAGTGCACCAATCTCCCTTCATTCTGCTGAGACACACTGTGGATGCTATCCAAAGGGATCACAAGAGAAAGTCCCTCATCAAGAGATTTGGCTGTCCTTAAAGCTCGTCCCTGCAATCAAGAAAGGCAAAACCAAGTTGTGGAGAATCAATGGTACAGCCATTCCATTTTGTGAAAAAGCTTAGCAGACAAGTGATCTGAAGACTGCAAGGAATGCCTGTACACTCAGCCTTAAGGCACATCCTCAAAACACACTTGTATTTCTCCACTCCCTCTTTCTCAGTGTCTAACATAGTTTGGAGCAGTACTTCTTACCCATGCAGCAGGACCATTAACATTGACTAAGCTCCTCAAACTCACATAGATTATTCCTACAACAGTCCAAAGTTATTGCTCTGCATCTCTTACCTTGTCCGTTGTTCACAAATAACTGCAAAAATTAGGCCAATTACGGTCCTTTTTCCACAGACCCATATGACTAGTAGGCACAAGTTTTCCTTTCCTTACCACCTGTGTTGGTTTTGGCTGGGGTAGAGTTAATTTTCTTCCTACTAGCTAGCATGGGACTGTGTTTTGGATTTGTGCTGGAAATAGTGTTGATAACCCAGGGGTGTTTCCGTTACTGCTCAGCAGGGCTGACACAGAGCCAAGGCCTTTTCTGCTCCTCACCCCACCCCACCAGCAAGGAGGCTGGGGGAGCACAAGGAGCTGTGAGGGGGCACAGCCAGGACAGCTGACCCCAGGAATATCCCACAGCATATGATGTCATGCTCAGCACATAAAGCTGGGGGAAGAAGAAGGAAGGGGGGGACATTCAGAGTGATGGCATTTGTCGTCCCAAGTAACCATTATGCACGATGGAGCCCTGCTTTCCTGGGGATGGCTGAGCGGCTGCCTGCCCATGGGAAGCAGTGAATGAATTCCTTGTTTTGCTTTGCTTGCATGCACGCCTTTTGCTCTACCTATCAAACTGTCTTTATCTCAACCTACGAGTTTTCTCAGTTTTACCCTTCTGATTCCCCCATCCCACTGGGGTGAACAGAGAGGGCGGCTGGGTGGGGCTTAGTTGCTGTCTGGGGTTAAACCATGACACCATCATGTTATGGTGTGCTTTCTCCTGCAAAGTCACCAAAATTGGGAGTAGTTCTCTTTCTCTTTCCTCTTGTAGAGGTGTAAAAGGAAGTCTTAGGTGAAAATTCACAGAATTCTGCTCCCCCACTCCAAAACTGCCAAAAGCATGTATCTTTGCAATGGTAGGGTGTTAGGATTCCCTTTAATTTAATTATTTTTTCAGTCTAAAACCAAGACATAAAATAACACCAAGAATAATTAACATGCTCAATTTTGCAACATGGATTATGAATTCCTTTCACGTAATTATAACAACATTAGAAATTAGGCCTTTATGTTATCCCAAGAAAAGAGAGAAGACGTGGCTGGCTCATACAACCCTCTTTCAATAATACCACAGCCTGTTTCTGCACCAGCTCAGAGGTTTTGGATATTATCTCTCATCACACACTGCCACTGTCTCCACCACACTCCGTTCTACAGAAAGACTATCTGTGGCCCAGTGATTTTACTCTTCTGTTAGATCTCAAGGATAAGCACCAGACTCTCCAGTCATCACATCCTCTTCTCATCGATGCAGTAATAAAGTTTTGACATGATCATTTCAGTAAGCCTATAAACGCAAAACTAGCTGTGTATAAACACTGATGGTATTTCACTTACTTCGTTGGTAAAAAGAAGGTAGAAAGACAGAAGAAATGTCACAAGTCCCATTAACATGCCTCCAGAAGTCTCGCTGAGCCTCTCCAGGAACCCTGGTTTGGACTCGCTTGTGATTTTAACATGTTCTTTTCTGCTGCCTGTTTCAGAGAACTGTTGGAGATAAACCAAAAAATGCAATATTGGTGTGACAGGGGAAGGCATTCTGTTTCAAAATAAGCCTTTTAGCTGTGTTAATACTGCAGCTCTGCAAGTATTGCCTCTTGCCTTGGACCAAAACTTTCCCACACTTATTAAATGCCTCATCACACCTTTGATACCAGAAATACAGTCAATAAATAAAACTCAAGTCTAATGGAAAAAAAAAACCACAATTGCTATTGTAGTGGTTCAACATGTTCCTTCAAGCTTTCTTCAGTCTGTCTCTAGGTTCCCTATTTGGCGTCCACACCCCGCATTTGGGCCATGACAAATTGAGTAATACTGCTGAATTCCAGACCAACTGAAACATAGCTATAAATAACAAGTTACATTTCACCTCACCAGTGGTAAGTGCCTGCATACTTTAAAATAACTGCACCTAGAGCAACAAAAAGAGATAGTTTAAAACAAAATTGCTATTGCTGTCCTAGCTAGTGCTACATTAAAGCATGAAAGCCCAGGGGTCTATCTGTGGGTACGCTGGCCGTGGGGAATAACCGAGAAGTAACTTCAGATAGCACACGGAGCCAAGACAGGAGGCGAGGTTTCTCTTTTGCTCCTCTCGAGATGCCAGGCGGGATGTGACAGCGGCCCCCGGGCTGCCCCAGGGGCTGCACAGGGCCCCTCGCCTCAGACAGGCCGCCCCGGGGCAGCGGCCGGAGCGGGAACGGGCCGACCCCGGGGGCCGCCCCCCGCAGCGC